CCCCCCTCCCCTAAAAAAAAATTGGCCCACACCCAAGTAAAGACGAGAGTGGTTAGGGTCTCAGGACTCGTGATGGAAGCAAAAGGACGGGGTTATTGATCGAGAAAGGGTTGAGATCTTGGTTGGAGATAGGCTTATGAGATCGAAGCTTAGGAGGGATTAAGATCGTACGGGTTTTTTTATGCTCAGCATAAAACTTGATGGTAAGTGGAAGTGAGCAATCTTGAAAGAGATACCTAGAAACTTACCTAAACAAAAAATCCGGTACCGCGATTTTCACAACCCGAAACCGAACTCGAAAACTTTTAAAAAGACCCCACGGGCCGTTTTGGCCCTGTGGGCGGATGGAATTAGGAAAAGTAAGGGCTGAACCCGGCACTGGGTGGCTCTAGCTAGGCTGCGCATAAGACGGAATCGACCCTGGATACGGTAAATCTTATTAAATTGGAAGGGGAAGGGAAATATAATAAGGTGAAAAAGATAGTGGTATCGAACATGTACCAGGAAAAACAGCGCGTCATACGAAGAGGAAATGTTGAGTGGTGTATTTGGAAATCAGCTTGCCTATGCCGACTGTAAACTGCACGGCCAAGCCGAGCCGAGTTTTTTGCAACTGCCTCGAAGAACTCGTAAATGGCACGTACAACGTATCAGGTGTGACGTGACAACAACAACGGGACGTGCAATACATCGCAAACCGGGCGCTGCCTGCGAGTTCTTTTCTTCTCTGCACCCTCCCTCAAACCAACACTATTTCGTCGGCCACAACTAAGAGTGTTAAAATTATGAACGCAGTTACAACCTACGCACCAGGCCGGCTGGTGCGGTCATGCGTTTCTGCACTATTTTGTGCTATAACGAGAATACGAGAACCGCAGTTGCGAGAATTAGCGATATGTTAACTCTCAAACTTCGGGAAGTTAATTGTACAGCTATTTGGCATGTCAGAGATGCTGGTGTGCAAAAAAGATCCCACCAGAAGAGTTGAATTTGAAATCTTTTAGTCGCACATGAGCAGGGAACACTCCCTTAAAATTCCAGCTTTCCAACTCTCCTCGTTCCTGAGTTAGCGATTTTCCCGCCAAGACTTTCACGTGTCCGTACGTGACACAGTCGGTTCCAGACAGCTGAATTTGAAGCCTTTTAGTCGTATATGAGTAGTAGTAAACATTCCTCTTAAAGCTTCCGCTTCCTAGTTTTTCTTGTATCCTCACGTGAGTCCCAGGCAGTTCTAAAGAGCTAATTTTGAAGTTTTTTGGTTTTAAATATTCTCCTAAAGTTTCAAGTTCCAAACTTTTCTCGTTCCCGAGTTAGCATTTTCCCACTAAAATTTTCGGGTGCCCATACATGAGTACTGGGCAGTCCTAAGGAGCTGAATTTGAAGCCTTTTGGTCATATATAGGTAGACAACATTCCTGTAAACTTTCAGCTTTCTAGCTTTACTCGTTCCCGAGTTAGCAATTTTTTCACTAAAACTTTTACATGTCCATACATGAGGCGTAGACGTGCGTGACAGTAGATGTCACGTCTCTCGAGTGGCACATGGCCAGGAAACACGCTGGCAAAATTTCAGCATCAAAGCCCATGTGGTTGGCGAGTAGAAATACCCGGACACACGAACACACGCACGCACACAAACACACACACACACATACCTACATATGCAGACAGGGTCGTCGCATTATGCGTTCTTGCTGCCTGTTGCAGCGCTCTAGCGCTGTAAAAAACGCATATTAAGCGTCTGAAGTTTTCTCGCAAATGGTGCATCAGGATAGACGTTACAGGGTTCAGGAAGTTTGGAGCCCACTTAGAGGAAAGGAGCTGGGCACACGCAAGATGTCCAGCAAGTGACCTTTGGCTAAGTGACCTAAGCTTAGGCTTGGTAACAAACGCTGGACCAGAGCAATCGAAATTGAGCGAATTAGATTCAGTTTGAGCTTAGATCAATTTTTCAAGCCCAGGCCCAGAACAAATTACCCCAACTTTAGGCCCAGGTAAATTTTCAGGAGTTTAGGCCGAGGCAGGTTTAATCCGAATTTAGACCCAGACAAGCTGGACTGATTTTATTCGCATCAAGTCGACCCAGACTCAGGCTCGAACTGACTAGAGCTTCGGCTGAAATAAATTAACTCAGGCTTAAACTTGAGTAAAATTACTTGAATTTATTCTTCTCTAATTCTGGATTTGATTTATCCGAACATACATGGGCACATTTATGCACATATCACACAGACTTGTATAAATACAGACAAACATACATTGCACAAAATTTTCATTATTATTATTATTATTAAATTATTATTATTCATTATTATTAAAATTATATTTTTGCGGGAAATCGTGCGCACAGTTTTCTTAAAATTCCCATTTGTTTTCATTTTCTGCTAAAAAAATCAATAAGATATTGATGCCGCTACAGTGCGGTAAAGTGATGCGCCTAGAGAAACTAAGTTTGTATTGTGGGTTTTTTCCCCTGACATCAATTCAAAAACTTGATCTCATCATCAGCGAAAAAAGGTGCGCTGTACGTACGTTCATTTATCTGCTATGCATGCGAAAATGATCGGAGGAGGGGCAAAAACCAGTCACAACAATTCACTCTCCGAAACAAAAGAGACATTTTTGGGGAGGTGCAGGAAGGGGAAGAGGCGACGATCGGCTCATAAAATTGTTGCGTTTTTGCGGTAAATCCGGAATCAAGTCTTCTTTCAACAGCTATTCGGCCTGCTGTTTGGCCACGTTGATTATGTTTACGCACTAAGATTTATTGCACACAACCCCAGATTGGCGTTTTGATGTCCACCCCTTTCCACGATAAAGTATGGAACTTTCCGGGTTTTTGAAAAAATATTTTGCCTGTCTTTTTGAAAATGATTTTCTTTGTATTACTACAGCAACATTAATTGTTATTGTTCAGTTCTAAGGTCGTGGTCCGGTTGCGGTATTGAACAGGAATGTGTATGAATTTATGGATGAAAGTATTGTTGTTCAGCTAATTTTTTTAATTTAATTTTATATGCATAATATTAAACATATGCATATATATACTTAATATAATTGTATGTAATATCGAAGGTATATTAAATATAATTACATATGGTGCCAGATACATATTTAATTATGTATAACTTTAAATATATTTTTATATATTTATACAATTATATACATTTAAAATTATGTTAAAAAAATTAGATGGACAGGAATATTTCGACTTATGAAGTATATATCATGACCAATTCTTCTATTTACTTTGTTCAAACCTCGTACTGCTCATGCTTAGGACTGGATTTTGACGACGATGATAGAATTTTGAATAATTTGATCAACTGCAATTCATACTCTGTTTTGCCAACAACTTTTCCATTTAGTTTGATCAATGCCGCGTTGTCTAACGGTCAGCCCAAAGGCGTTTTTTCTCTTGAATAATTACTAGCTCATCGTAGGAGAAGCGCATGGCAAGACAAAGTATTAGCCGTTTCGATATTTCTTTGATGTTCGTTGAGCATCACCATCTCAGCATGAGCATTAGCATTTTGATACCTTGTGGAACTTCATCAACTGGATTGTGATACCTCTCTAATGACGCCATGATACCTTGTCGACAAGGAGAT